TTGGTCAGCTGACTGTTCCATGGTTGGTGTAGCATATAGCTCAGGTGCTGTAGAAATATTTAACACACTTGGAACCTCCATCTTCACCATTTATCCACCTAGGTATGTAACTATGTATGTGATGTGTATTGTAGATATATATATATATATATGATTTGTAGATTTTACAAGTTGATATATTTTGGGATGGTAATATTGTATATACAAGTATATATGTATATATTTTTTTTCCCCCCAAATTAGGTATCGTGAGGGTGTGACTCAAGTGGACACCAGCTGTGCTCTGGCTGCTCTCATCTTCTCTGATGTCAGGACTCAGAAAATAAAATGGTATGACTCTGACATGATTAGAGGCTTCTTGATCTGATGGCAATTAGTTACTATAACAGATAAATAACAGCAGCTATGTAATTGACATGATGACACTCTTTCTCTGTTAAATTGTCAAGTTATTTCATTGATAATTGTTTGCAAGTGATTAATACACATTAAATTCTTTTCTTGTCGAGTGTTTAATTAAATCTTGTGTCCCAAGTAATTGGTTTTACTGCTATTGTAGAGGATGAGGAAGAACTTTTGTTTTTTGTTACCAGTAGCATAAGTGGTATATATAGTACTAAGTAAATCCTTGATGAATATATAATTAATACAGGATTTATACATGACTAGTACATGATACATGACTAGTACATAACTAGCAGAGCAACAGAGATATGTATAATAGATACAGTACTCAGTCTTTGTTTACACAGGGCCTCAGAACTGATACTTGTAGACTATCAAGGCAACATCAGGAGTTACTATGTGTCCCCCACTGAGGGCTACCAAGAAAGTCATGTTTCATCCTTCAGCAAAGTGTATCCCAATGGTATCACAGCAGTAGCGGACAGAGGGTAAGCATATTTTAAGGGAGATTTTATAGTTTGTGTGTAAAGAATATATTTATTTAAAGATGTTTGTTGAATGACTTAGCAGTGGGTGATGAAAAGTAAGGATTTCATAAGTGATATGTAAGATTCTATTTACTCTTAACATTCTTGTAAAAAACTTTTTTTATGTCTTAACATAATAACATAATGCATCACTTGATTTTTTGTCATTATAAGATATATAGCCATACTACTTATACTAATATTGTTGTGTTTTTTTTTGCAGGCCATTATTAATAGTGGCTGGGTCTTGTGAATTTCTAGAAGACAGCAATTTGAGGAATAATGGCTTGGGTCATGGCATTACAATATGGTATATGATTAATGATTATCCATTCTATAAACAGGTTAGTTTTTGATGGGTTGTTTTTCTTGCAGGTTCAAATAATACTTATTTTTACAAGTACTTGTTACTATTATTATGGTTTTATTATATTAATATCGATAATGATACTAATGCTGATAAATAATGCTGATGATAATTCTGATAAACAATATTTAATATAGTAAAAATTATAGTAATACTAATGATAATAAAAATAATGATGGTAATGATGATGATAGTAATAATGAATATAGTAATAATAATGATAGTAATGACGATGATAGTAATAATGAATATAGTAATAATAATGATAGTAATAAAATAGTTGTTATAATAAAGATTATAATCATAATGATAGTAATAATAAGGATGATGATGACATAATAATAATGATTATGATAACAGTAATAATGGTAATGATAATGATAATAATGATATTGATAATGATAATAATTATGATAATAATAATTATGGTGATAATAATGATAATGATAATAATAATGATGATGATGATAATAGTAATAATAGTAATAATAATGATGATAATAATAATAGTAATAATAGTAATAATAATAGTAATATTAGTATTAGTAATAATAATAATAATGATAAAAATGATTATGATAATAATAGTAATGATAATGATGATAATGGTAATTATATTGATACTACTTCTACTGCTACTACCAATGATGATTATGATGAAAAAGATAATGATGTTAATGATGGTAGTAATAGTGATGATGATGAAAATGATGATGATATTGAGTATGGTAATGATTGTAGTAGTAGTTATAATAATAATAACAATATTTTTACTACTAATACTGATAATGATGATGATGATGATGATGGTGATAATAAAAATATTCATGATAATAAAAAATGATAATGATGATTATGATTATGATTTTGATAGTGACAAAGATGATGATGATAATCCTTTTGATTATTATTATTAATAATATTGTTTTTATTGTTGTTATTATACTTATAATTTTTATTGCTGTATCAATATTGTTGTTGCTGCTGGTGCCATGTGTATTTAGTAGATTTTTTGCATATATCCTTGAAACACATCAAGTTGATATTTCCTTTTTTATGCTATATGCAACCTTTTGACTAGGTACTTCTTACAGGTTATATCAACCATTATTAATAATTATTTGTCTAAATGTAGTTATTTCATCTTTTACCCAGATGCCTACAATAAATGAGGATGAATATATACCGCCCAGTGCAGGAATCATGAACTGGCTGCCAGGATTCAAGTCGAAACCCCAGCATGACTGTATCTTCGACCTCTGTGTGTCTCCCTCTGGTAAACAGCTGGCTGCCTTGCACACATCAGGGAGTCTGTCCATTTGGGAACTGCCTTCTCTGTGGAAGAAGAAGTACTGGTTGCTTGCTAGTCAACCAGACCAAGATTCTATCAATCCATCAAGCCTTGAGTACATTCCTGGGCAGAAGCATCGCCTGCTACAGTACTCTGGGCCTCTGAAAAACCACCCAGCAGGCCTTAGCTGGTGGTCAGAGATGGCTGTTATCCTTGCTCGTTATTCTGGGGCTGTTACTGTTAGCTCTGTGAACTCGCTGCGGAACCTGCTGGGAGAGTCGCCAGAGTTTCTGGAGGGAGTGCCTCAGGTGCGCCTTTGGTCTCAGGACTTTTTTGTTTTGGGCATTAGGGTGGCATTTTTGTTGATTTGGATTTATTTGTTATTTGTTGTTTAATTGTGATTTAAACATTATTATTACCTATTAGTAATGATACTGAGAATGAGAATGAGAATGATAATAGTAATGAAATGACAATTATAATGCTATGAGATGATAATGATTGTAATAATAGCAATAACAAGGATGTGAATATGAATAAGAATTTTGATACTGATATTCTTATTATTGATATCATTATTATATTTTTTTTCTATTTGCCCTATATATATTACAATTTGTTTAATTGATATACTTGTTTAGTCGAATTAGTCTTCTTTATTTTTGTTATTGGTTTTGTGTTTTGTTGTTTTGAAGATTATGTAAAGTGTTAGGAGTTTGTAAAGATTACAGAGAATGAAAGTTTGGATGTATAACTGAAGAGGATTGATAACTATATGTTGTCATTTACTGAATTTTTTGAATAGTTAACCAGCAGGATATTAGATGCAGTATGTGTTATCCTTTATAGATATTGACCTAAGTTATGAAAAAAATAAAATTCCAACAGATAAGTGAAGCCTACGACCGAGGCTTCTTGGGGTTGGAGGTTGAGAGTCGTGTCAACACCAAACGCATCTTGACTGCAACAGGTGAAGGCTCAGACGAAGAGGAGGAATACCTTGACTCGGATGATGAGGATGAGCTCTCTCTGGTCCAGAGGTCAAGCAGACTGGCCAAGAGCGCACTTTTCTGGATCACTGATGCTGAGAGGTTAGTGGATTAAAAAAAAAAGATTCTGAGTGTTATGATCACAGAATGGGAATCAGTGCTAAGCTTTGAAGTATCATTGTGTTACTAAAGTAGTTATGTGGTTCCAGTTTGTGTAAAGTCAATGGAAATTCATTTTTCTGGTCCCCTGAATTTATAAACATTGGCTAGACCAAAGTAATATTGTCAGGAATATTGAAAGAAAATAAACATAAAAGTAATTATTAAGGAATATAATGAGAGAATTCATCCTCTAGATTTGTTTTGTGTATGAAAAAGTGAACAAGATACTGCAGAAAGAAATCAATTACAGTATCTTCATATAATCCATTGTTTCACATAATCCTGCATGTCTGTATTATTATTATTATTGTTATTATTGTTTAGTGATAAGGGAATAGAAGTTGTAGATAATGCAGACTCAATTCTCCCTGCACAGATTTCGACCCCCAAGCAAAAGACCAAAGATTGTTCAGAGGACCTTCCGTCTGCTTTGCCTCAAGAGCACGACTCCAGAGGAGTTATTTGCCAGAAAAATTGAGAATGAGGAATATGGGGAAGCTCTGGCCCTGGCTCGCAGCTATAAGTAAGGACAATATCTTTTCCACAGTCATCTACAGTACTTGTAAAATAATTTCTAGTTATTGCATTATTTTGCAGTGCGTGATGTGTTTTATTTTCCAGTAGAAGTTTTGGCATTCTGTTTTAACCCATTAGTGCTAGGTATGTGTCCACTGATTGTTTTGTTTTGTTAATTTTGTTTGCAATTAGCTAACATCTCAAAATTTTAGTCACCAAGTAGCCAGTTACTAAGTCTACCTGACTTTGCTTCTTTAGCCCATTCTCCAATTGTTGTTTTTATTATTATTATTATTATTATTATTGTTAATGTTTTTTTTTCAGTAACAATATTCATGAAAATAATATTTTTTCTTCAAAAAATCATGATATAGTGTAAGCAGGTGAGATCAGATAGGCCTAGTATTTGACTGCTTGGGACTAGGCTAAGCCCATCTATTTTGTAAAAAGAATTGATAAAATCAAATCACAGTAGACATGGCATGGATGCAACCACTTCCAGTGTCACAGTTAGTTAATATGGCCTTTCTTATGGTCAAGACTCAAGTCCTCATTAATTCTCGTCTGTCATAGTATAATGATAAATGATGAATTACATATATATACTTTTTTCCACTTTGTATGTATTTGTATGATAAATATCATAGCAACAAAATTGTTAACATTATCTCCTAATAGACTGATTACTGATCTGAACTTATTTTTTTTATTCAGGCTTTATAACATATAGCATAAAGCTTATACATCATCTAATTTTTAAAAAGAAATACCGCAATGTTACATGAATTAACACTTTTATGCTCTAGCCTGGATTGTGACCTGGTATACCAGCAGCAGTGGCGTAGAAGCTCTGTTACTGTAGCCTCCATCCAAGACTACTTAGCTAAGATTCGCAAGCGGTCTTGGGTGCTTGCTGAATGTCTCACACGTGTGCCTGAGAACATAGATGCAGCGCGAGAGCTCCTCATGTATGGGCTGCGAGGAACAGACCTGGAGGTAGATTTGGTGTTATGATTTATTGAAAATTGTTGTTGTTCTTGTGGTGCATCAGTATAATTGATAACCAAGTAGATCAAAAGATAAAAGTAACACTGAGTATATTTGTAGTCATGATTTGATAGATGGTGAGAGATGGTGAAAAATATTTGAAATACACATACATGATACATAGCTAGTGGTTATCTTGGATACAGAGGAGATTCAAGATTACAAAAAGTCCCACTAATATGATTACTTACAGGCAATTGTAGCCATTGGCAAAGGCACAGACGATGGGGAGTTCATATTCTGTGACTCAGACCTTGCCTATGATGAAGGCATAGACATTGACCCCAATGAGTATGATGTGAAGGCGCAAGAGAGAGCTGCTATGGAGCTCAAGAGAAGGCATGACTACCTGGTGCAGGTGGGTTGTGAGAGCTTGTTATTGTTATTGATGTTACCAGCTTTTATGTGATTTGATTTGCTGGGAAGGACCATGTTATTGGTTGTGTTAATGGATTTTATGTGGCTGTGGCTTCTGTTGAGTGGACACACTTTGGCAAAAAGCAAAAATCGAATTTGTTAGGAGATATGTAACTGAAAGATTCCTCTTTGTATTCGTAACTTGTATTCTGCCTGATTTTGTTGTCTTCTAAATGTAATTTGTTTCAACCTATTTGCTTTACTTTTAAAAATGATCAGAATTATAAAAGTATCGTCATTGCTAGGAAACATTGTTATAATAACTTGATCTTATAATAACTTGATATAAATCAGTGACATCTGTTTATATTCCAGATTGACTTCAAGAACCTCTCTACAGAGCAAAAGAATGTAATTCGTGCTAGACGAAAACTTCTCACATACTTAGATAGGTTAGATACATATGAGGTAAGTCAGTTACTAGTCAGTGTACACAGTGGCAGTGTGTTTAAAATTTTCTTGCATTTGCATAGATTAACTAATGTTTGTTTATCTCTTACAATGTTTTATTTTTGACATTTTAAGGTTCTCTTGGGAGGGGCCCATGTAGCACCAGAGCACTATGATGCTTCCTTCTTCGACAAGTTCCGGAGCCAGTCAGCTATCTCTGCCACTGTTGAATTTGCTAGGAGCTATGACTGGCGTGGTGTGGAGGCCATGTTCACGTATCATGGAGCTGAAACCCTCCCTCACCGGTTGGCTGTGCTCTCCAGCTTTCCACCAACTATGGGTCCGTTTGAGTACAGGTATGGGACTGTTTGCATTTTTTAATGTAAACTGGGTATTAACTGTGTTTTTTTAGTTCTACTGTAAGATATGCAGATCACCATTTATTATGTTCCAGTTTCCCAAATTTTATGCATATATTTGTTGACTTTGTTTGACTATCTGTTTTATATCCTCTGTAGATCACTTCTGCTGGAGTGTGAAGGAGATGAGGTCTTTGAATGGGAGCAAGAACAGCTTCGTGATGAGGACTGGAGTGATGACCCAATTTGCGGGTATGAAACAACTTACTCTATGTACTGACCTTCAGATATGCATGCTGTGTAACTATGTAACTATCTACGTCTGCTCTGACAATTTACTTAGCTATATAACCATATCATGAGAGATCTACCTTTTTTCCTTGAGGCACCATCTGATAGAGGTCATCTTGTTTTATTTGCACTAAGACTCTTCTACTCTTCTTCCTTCATTTATCAACGTTCCTATGTTCACACTCCTATAAAGCAAGACTATTCAGGTACTGTAGGAGAAAGTTTGGACTAAGATATTTTTGTGACTATGAAAGTGATTTATTCATCTTACCTTAATTTTTTCCCCTTAAATTCTTGTATATAGAAAGAATACATCAATTCTTGTATTCATTAGCCATATTCACTAATACACTAGCCATATTTTTTAACACTTATTAACCCATATTTATTAACACATGCTCATGAACTTGTACTTATTTGCAAAGACACCAGCCATACTCATTCTCTCATTGTCATGAACCTGTGATCATAACATTAACATAAACTCATAGTCAGTTTTCATTGCAACAGTGTATAGAAATGGTAAGAATAATAGCACTGTGTACATATTATTTTGGTGTTGTGAATTCATTAATTGTCATTCATATCTTTTGTACTATAGTCATATTTGAGTAACTTATTTACGTTAATTTATTATGCTTATTCTCATACTCTTTAACACCTCATCATTCACAGAGATGCAATAAATGATGATGAGGAAGACCCAGCTGTATTCTTGTATGAGGAATGCCAGGATCTCAAGAAGTTCATGGGGCTTGAACCAAGTGCAGAAACTGTGAGCCTCTGGTACCAAGAAAGAGCACGGGAGATTGAGAGATGCAGTCATTTTGTGGATGCTGCCTTGGACTTGCTCAAATTGGGCAGGGAAAGGGATGTGAAGGTCAGTTGGTCTCTCTAAGATTTTGCATTTGTTAATTTTTGTGTAATGGTCTTCAGTGCCTTGTTTTGTGAGGGATTAACTCTCCTATTCTTATGTAAAATTCATTTTGGCAAAAGAATGAAGAGAGGGGTTTATAATGCTCTCCCTTGATATCTTCAAGGCCATGGGTCAGATTCAGTAGAGGAGGTAGCTAATGCCAAGCCAGAAGTTGGCTGTATGATCTCTATCCTCAGTTGTAAGCCAGCATAGCATCCAGGAAAAATATGTAAATTAATTTCTGTACCATATTACATATTTGTAATACCAAGTAATCCTAAACTATTAGCTGGTACTTGGGGAAATTACAGTTCCTCTCTGCACTATTACATGTGAGAAATGAGGGAAGCCACACTTAGGACTCTTAGTCTAATAATATTAAAGCTGTGGGATCATCAGGTTAAAGGGATAAGGGAGAATTTTAACTCTAGTACATTTTTGGTTGCTGTACTTTGAATATTATTGAATATATGGTTATTGTGGTTAGAACACTACTGCATTGATGTTGTTCTTCTTTCAATACTATTACATTTATGATTCCTCCATGTCAATAAAATGTGTATTTTTTAATCTGAATTGCAGAATTTGGAAGAACTTCATGACACTCTGGATTCTTTGGAAATGATGGTTTATGAAGTAGGCCTGTGTTCAATGACCTTGGATGAATACTCTAGCTTATCTGATGCTGAGAAGATAGTGAAGCTTATGTCCACGGTAACAATAAAAAGTTTATTACAGTCATAATAAGAAATGCTCATTGCAAATCACAATGGAAAAAATCCTTATAAGTATGAATTAACTGGTTTGTTATTCTTTCTCACTTACATTACAGAGCACCCCAGAAACGTACATCCAGAATATTAGGCGTTGGCTGTTGCCATTCTTGGCTCGCTGTGATAAGTGGAAACCTGGAAGTGCCAAACGTCTTCTGAGGGAGTATGTGGTGTCTACAGCCAAGGATGACCTTGGATTACCTCTCAAGATCCTACAAGTAAGAAGTTCCTTTCCATAGCATCTTCACTCTAATTTTCCATATATTTGTTTGCTTTGTAGGGAATTGTTTTTAGTATATATTTGGTTTGTTTATTCTGTTATTCAGTCATTTTAGGAGTTTAATAGTTTAATACTGTCATTGTTTTATACTTGTTCTAGCATAAAATTTCTTATATTTATAATTTCTTTTCAATGTGTGGTTGTTATATGCATGTTCTAACCATTGTGCCCTTGTTGTAGATGAGTATTTACATGTTTATTTTTTATTCATTTTATTTTATTTATTTATTATTTTTTTGACAGCATTCCAGGCCAGACCAGCATGCACAGATCATCACATCAGCTGAGGAGATGATGACCATTGCTTTAGACTGTGTGTATGCATGTGAGAAGGAAACTCAGCTGCCAAGAGCCTTTGCCATTCTGGAGTGTGTGCCAGAGAGAGAGTCTGGGTAAGAACTGTGGTTGTTATTTGACTAGTATTATGAAATTAATTAATTTTTTTGTGTATGAACTCTTGTAATGCCAGGTATGATTATTTTTTCTTTACAGTATGTATGGAATTCACTTAAAAAATTGGTTTGATCATGATCATTTATAACAATTTGTTGGGAAATGCATTGCTTAGAAGGAGTTATAAGAAAATCTCACAAATAGAAGGAGAGGAAGAAATCTGACTCTGTTGTTCTTTGCTTCAGTAGTTATATACAATCCTACTAGGTGGAAAGGATTAATTGTAGTCATTATTTCAAGATCATTATGATTATTTAAAAATTTCTTGAGTGAGATAATCAGTGTCTCAATCATAGCTGATCCCCTGATTTATCTTTCTTTTTTTATACATTGAAAAAATATTTAAATATTGATAAATTTATGTCTTAATAGTACCTAATCCCATGATTTATCTTTTTTTTTAACATTGAAAAAATATTACTTTAATATTATCAAATAACAATATTCTTTTCCTCCTTTCGACAGCACCAGCACAGAAGCCCTGTCGAAGCTGCATGACTTGGCTGATGCTTTGGAGGCTCACTTGACAGCTGCTGAATTACTGAGCAACAACAGTGTCTTTGTCACGCCCTGTCAGCTTCGCCAGCTACAGGACGATTGTGAAAAAGTCAGAGAAATATTTACCAAGTTAACAAGAGCTGCTGCGAGGAGGTACAGTTTTCCAGAGTTAATGAATAGGGTTTTGGGCTGTAGCCTGTGAATTGTTGAGCCTGTCTTATTTCTGTGATTTGTATTATTACATACATTATTAATTATTCACTGATTTATACTGATGCTGAATGTAACTATTATCATTAAGGTTGATGTTGTTATTAGTTTTTTTCTTTCTTTCTTTTTTGTTTTGTTTTCTTTTTTCTCTTCTTTTCCTTTTTTCTTTTTTCTTTCTTTTCTTTTCTTTTCTTTTCTTTTCTTTTCTTTTCTTTTCTTTTCTTTTCTTTTCTTTTCTTTTCTTTTCTTGTCTTGTCTTGTCTTGTCTTTTTTTTTTCTTTTCTTTTCTTTTTTTTCTTTTCTATTTTTTTTCTTTTCTTTTCTTTTCTTTTCTTTTCTATTCTATTGTATTCTATTCTATTTTATTCTTTTCTTTTCTTTTTTCTTTTCTTTTCTTTTCTTTTCTTTTCTTTTCTTTTCTTTTCTTTCTTTTCTTTTCTTTTCTTTTCTTTTCTTTTCTTTTCTTTTCTTTTCTTTTCTTTTCTTTTCTTTTCTTTTCTTTTCTTCTCTTCTCTTCTCTTCTCTTCTCTTCTCTTTTCTTTTCTTTTCTCTTCTTTCTTCTCTCTTCTTTTCTCTTCTCTCCTCTTCTCTTCTTTTCTCTTCTCTTCTCTTCTCTTCTCTTCTCTTCTCTTCTCTTCTCTTCTCTTCTCTTCTCTTCTCTTCTCCTCTTCTCTTCTTTCTTCTCTTCACTCTTCTTCCTTCCTCTTCTCTCTTTTCTTTTCTTCTCTTTTCTTCTCTTCTCTTTTCTTTTCTTTTCTCTTCTCTTCTCTTCTCTTCTCTTCTTTTCTCTTTTCTTTTCTTTTCTTTTCTTTTCTTTTCTTTTCTTTTCTCTTTTCTTCTCTTCTCTTTCTTCTTTTCTTTTCTTCTCTTCTCTTCTCTTCTTTTCTTTTCTTTTCTTTTCTTTTCTTTTCTTTTCTTTTCTTTTTTCTTTTCTTTTCTTTTCTTTTCTTTTCTTTTCTTTTCTTTTCTTTTCTTTTCTTTTCTTTTCTTTTCTTTCTCTTTTCTTCTCTTCTCTTCTCTTCTCTTCTCTTCTCTTCTCTTTTCTTTTCTTTTCTCTTTTCTTCTCTTCTCTTTTCTCCTCTTTTCTTTTCTTCTCTTCTCTTCTCTTCTTTTCTTTTTCTTTTCTTTTCTTTTCTTTTCTTTTCTTTTCTTTTCTTTTCTTTTCTTCTTTTCTTTGCTTTTCTTTTTGTTTCTTTTCTTTTCTTCTTTTCTTCTTTTCTTCTTTTCTTTTCTTTTCTGCTCTTCTCTTCTCTTCTCTTCTCTTCTCTTCTCTTCTCTTCTCTTCTCTTCTCTTCTCTTCTCTTCTCTTCTCTTCTCTTCTCTTCTCTTCTCTTCTCTTCTCCTCTTCTCTTCTCTCTTCTCTTCTCTCCTTCCCTCTCCTTTCTTCTTCTTCTTCTTCTTCTTCTTCTTCTTCTTCTTCTTCTAGTTCTTGTTCATGTTCTAGTTTGTATCCATGTTTGTGTCCATGTTTTTGTTTTTGCTTTTGGTCTTGTTCTTATATTTATATATTATTATATATGTGTGTGTGTGTGTGTGTGAGTGCAAGTGCATTTGCCTGTGTATGTGTGTGGTTGAGAGATCCTTATTAATAGAAATTGATTTGAAAGATACATTCAATTTTAAAATGTTTCTTATGGATGGATTACAGGGAGCCTAGACTTAGTGATGAAGACTGGCGAAAGTTGTTGTATGACATGTTAGAACTGCAGCAGAAGGTCTTTACGTGTGTAGAGCCACAAGTTTGCTTTGAGGTAAGTTTTTTTTTTTTTTTTTTACTTGTACCTGATTTTATTGACTGTGATACTGTATTTATAATGTTGTAGTTGTTATTTGGAATCTAATCACTTGTAAGAATGATAGGTTTGCAGTGGAATATTGCCATTGTGCTGACTTTGATAGGTTAGGGATATTTTATTTGAAAATATAGTATTTAATTTTAGATATGATTACTTGAGTTGATTTGTCCTGAGCATTTTTCTTGTCTCTAGACCTTGACAGATGCTCTCCTGTGCTCTGGCATTTTGGAAAACATCAGATTTGCTAGGGAATTGTTGGAGACACAGGGAGATAGGTCCCCTGTGCACAACCCTTACCTGCAGCAGGTGCCTTTTGCGCAGGCAGTGAAGCTTGTGATATCTGCTGCGACACAGTACTTCAATTCTTCTGAAAGTCATGCAGATGAGGCAATGGAATTAGCACAGTAAGTTTTCAATTCGTGATTTGTGTTTTTTCCTTCACATGGTATGATACTTTTGATGATCCATCCTGAAGAACACCTGTTGCTTTATAAGTATATATATATGTTATGATATTTACTTTAGTCCTCTGTAGCAGGGCATGTATTAATAATGCATATTATACAGGCAGTGTCTTGGACTGATTGAATCTGACAATGAAGACATCAAGAGAGAAAAGGATCTCATAGCAGCTCTTCACATTTTGCCAGACTTTGGCATCAACAAACTTCCTCTTCAGGGTAAGAAGTGCATTATACTGGAACATTTTTGTGCAGTATCAAGTAATCTTGCCTATAAGAAGTTAACATTGATGGAAATATTTAACAACTGATACACCTGTTAATGAATCATGATATCAATTTCTCTTCAGTTCGCCTTTGTGAGGACAGGCTAACTTTGATAGAGGAAGGACTGCAGACCAAAAAGGGAAGTTATCGCCATGGGTCTCGATTGCTACAGTTGGCAACACTATTGAGGGTGTGTGGAATGGACTTACGAGCCAGACAGGCGAAGGTTTTCTCACTTGTTGCTCATGCAGCTCTTAAGGTGAGGTTACATCCTTACATCAGAATATATTCTGTTTTTGATTTATATGTAGGAGGTTTGGCAAGAAGTCCTGATTAGGGTATTAGGAGGATGAAAGATGCAAGCTTCTGAGAAAAAATGCAGATATTTTCTTCTTTATTCCCAGCGAAATGTGTCATGCATTTGGACAGTACCTTCAGATATTGATAGCTGATAAGTTAAGGTTTAAAATCTAATTAGGTCTTTGTAGCAACTGTAAAGCAACTGGATGAGAAAAAAATAAAAGCAAAAAGGAAAATCTACAATTCTTTATTGTTTCAGTTTACAGTTTAGTGTCCATGAAATGTGAAACATACTTTCACAAAATAATTTACGATCATCACGAATGCTATAGAAGTAGAAACTGTAGTCAACTAGGTTATTTTTTTCCCTAAATATACTAGATGTAGGACAGAGCAAACAAACAGCAACTTCTAGCACAATGTATGATTTCCACTTGACCATGGAGAGTGCTGGCAACTAGCAGGAAGTGCTAGTGATATGCCGAGCCAGCCAGTCCTAGAAATGGAGATGTGGAATTCGGCCAGCACCTCCATGGTCCGTACCAAAGCAAAGAGATTATCTTTTAGTTGTACTCTTTTTGGGGTGAATGCATAATGGAAGAAAGCTGTATTGGACAAAAGTCTTTAAAGTCCCCCCTATGCCTTCAGTCTACAGGTAGAAAGAGAGAAAAAATATATAAACATATGTTTGAAAGCAGTATAGTTATGATATATTTACATGATATCCAGACCTATTATGAATTTGTTTTATACAGACAAAGTCTGTGGAAATGTAGTGGGACGGATTGATTTTTTTTTACACTTATTATCTGTTTATCTTCCGAAACAAACCATAAGTTTGGATTCCTTGCATCTGCATATAGCACTGACTGTTGTAAACCCAAAGTGATTTTAATGATATGTAGCTTCTTGCTGTGATATTGCTGATCTCTTTAGTCAAAGAGATCTTGATAGCATTGTATATAATGGTGAATGTCTTTCAAAGAAGCTCAAAATGGCAAGGACAAGAGTAAAGAAATGATTGTGACAAATGTAGAAAAAAGGTATCATGTTCTTCCATAATTGGTATGATGAACTATCAACATATTAATTACATATCATTCACTTTGGAACTAATCATTCTCATTCCTACCTTTTTCCTCTACAAAGACACAAGAAAACACAAAAAGAGATGATTGGTGTGCTGTAACACTATACATGTAGCAACAATGGACAGTGAGTGAAGACAGCATCTATAAATATTTACTAACAAGGCAACAAATAAACAGTTCAATTAGCACGTTAACAAAAAAAAAACAAAAATCCCAGGCCTATGTTTTCCAGTTACGCCATTACCCTTCTTTTCTTCCCAAACGCAACGCCACCGTTTTTTTCTGTCCTTTTTTTTCTTTTTTTTTTTACTTGAGAATACTCCGAGGTCACTATCACAAAAAGTTCCAAGCCACTGAGATACACAGGCGTGGTTCACACAGCAACGCGACCTGCACGTTGTATTATAATAAAGTCTAGAATAATGTTTAAATGGGGTATGATAATACTGTCTATAGCACAAATTTCTGACACTGTATGTAGCTCAGGATTTGAAAGACACAATCCATTAGGTAACTCAGGAAGGTGTCCTCACACAGCTGGCGGTTTAGTACTTGGGTGGCCCTGGAAGGCAGGTGGGAGGGGATGAGGGCATGAAAGGATTAGAAGACAGAGATCCTGTGGGAGGATGGATTGGGAGCAGAGTTTCCAGTATGAGGAGATCCAAGCAGAAGTCCTTCTGTGGGATGATGGGGAGGAGTCGAATGTCCCTCAGTGTGCCTTTGTCTTCGCCGCCTTATCTGCTACTGTGTCGTAATTTTTTTTTTAGCCATGAAGAAAGGATAAATCAGTGGACAATTTTGTCATCTTCAGGGTCAATGTTCAGGCAATATTAGTGCTATTTTTTAGGGAAATATGTGAATAGTTCACCATTGATGTATGAATTTGTTTTGAATATCAATCTTTGTTTAATTTTTTCCTCTTCATGCACCGCACAAAGAATTAGAGTCTTGGATATGGATGCTGCTGTAAAATCTCATGGAGAGTTGGTGCCAGCTGAGTGCAGGGGACACTGGCAGTTGCGTTTTGCACTGGTACAAGTCACGCACTGCCTCTGAAGTGAGCCTCTCTGGCCACATGTTTACCTCACTCATTTCCCCTGAAAACTGTGAAGTGTGGTCAAAGTCTGTCAAATCAGGGAGCAAAGTCTGGCCAAGGATGGTGAGGCCACCTCCAAGGAAGGCACTCTGGTTGGGCAGGATGTCTGTCAGGGTTCCTACAAGCTCCCCGTTGACATAAATACCAGTCTCGTGGTCATGGTTGCTCCATGTGAACGCCACATGATACCACTCATTGGCATGGAACTTAAAAGGCAGCTTCTTGAAGTGGAAGTTTGGTGCTCCTGCAGACTGCTCAGTCTCACTAACAGGAACAGGAAGCAAGGCATTGTTGGTGTTGGTTGGAACTGCGAGAACCTCCTCTTCCTCCTCTGCCACATTCTCTTCCTCAGGACTTAGCTCATATTGCTCCTTCATCCAAATGTTGGCTTCCTCAGGTGTGCTGACAAAGTGAACAGGCTTGGGGAGGAAGCCCTGATCTAGCAGCTCCTGTGGGTTTGAACTGAACAGAACCACGTCCTCATCATCATGGCGTCGTTCGGCCATCTGTGAGACAGGGCCACCATATGCAATAGGCCGTGGGGCAGGCTTTGAAGAGGCATAATGTGGTGGAAGTTGCTCATGGAACAAGTGTGAGGACTCCTGGTAGTGGGACACTGGGATGACATCCTCTTGTGACACTAAGACTCCGGCAGGCTGGTAAAGTTCCTCGATGGAGAAGGATGGCTCCTCGGCTTGGCCTTGATCTGGGTAATATGGAAGGTCATCCTTGCCCATATGGAAGACCGCGAAATTGGCAGAATGCACTTTGTTCTCTTCCTCTTTGCTAGGCTCTAAGCTGGCAGGAAGGCTTGGTTCTGGGACTTCTTTGGTGCTTACTTCAGGAAAAATTTCAGGTTTCAGAACGAAAGATGGAATATTGATTTCAGGAAGAGGAGCCTTGCTTGTTTTGGTAGTTGTGTCTTGAAGCTTGATTGTGACAGGTGCCTCTGTTGTGGAAGGAACAGTCACATCTGGAATGTAATAGGCAGCTTGAGGAGGCAGCTGTGGATCGGACCTATCCTTGGGCGCAGAGGCTTCAGGCTCCTCGACAATAATAACTTCATCAGGTTCCTCATAGACTTGCAGGATGGATGGGAAAGTTGGCCTTGGTTTGAAAGCCACGGTCTCAGTTGAGGGCTGAATCTCGATTGCTTCCTCAGCGATGGGGATGTCACTTCTGGAAGGAGTGGGTGGCAGAGGCTCCTCAGTGGGCACAAGGACAGCATCTTCTTCACTGAGAACCGCTGGGGTGTCCGTTTCCTCGTAGGGTATTTCAGATTCGGTGACATAGTGAAAGCTTAGGATCTCATCATCCCTGGAGGAGGTGGTCTCTCCAAGGCCATTCTCATTCACCTCGTCCTCCTGTGGCTTGACGATGGCCTCGTGGATAATTGTGGGCTGTCGGGCATGAGCTGGGGCTGGCACCTCCATTGCCTGGTACTGCTGGTACATGGTATTGAAAGCGTCCACGTTGGTGATGGGCACTGAGTACACCACGGCCATGTTGCCATCCTTGACTGGCGGAAGACCTTCCATCGCACGTTGGAATTCGTCCACATGGTAAGGCATAATGTTTGTCTGCTGCTGCCGATGGCGCTTGTGCACGGTATTTAGTGATGCCTGGGACTTGCCAGACCACTTGTCCTGGAAGCCTTGGCCCTTTGCGGCCTTGTGGTGGTGGTGGTCGCTGGCGCTTGACCAGATGGACACCTTGGATTTCTGCCCTGTGATCTGGGGCTTATCTGTCAGCTGTGGTGGAGAGGGACTCTGCCGCAAGGTGGGGAGCACCCTCAGCTGGGCTGTGGTTGGCTGTTCAGTAGTTGTGGGTGCCCTGGTAGTGGTTGTGGATGCTGTAGGAAACCTAGAAGCTGTGGTCCTCTTGGTGGTAATGATTCTGGTTGTTGGTCTCGGAGTAGTTGTGGTTGTGGATGTGGTTGTAGTAGTTGAGGTTGTTGTGGTGGAGGGAGCGGTGTGTGCGTGCGCAGCTTCAGGATGCTTGATGAGCTTCCACAAGGGCATGCGTGTGGTGCGTCGCGCCGAGGAGGGGCGAGGAAAGGCTGAGGGGCGCTTGGTGTACCTCGGGGTGCTGGTGGTGGGCGGGGCAGTGAAGCGGCGGGTGGTGAAGCGGAGGCTGTTGCGCCAGGCTCGGGAGGTGGTGGTGGATGGGGCGGGAGTAGTGGTGGATGGGGCGGGAGTGGTGGTGGATGGGGCCGGAGTAGTGGTAGGGGCGGTGGGTGGCGGCTGTGTTGCTGGCCTTGGGGTTGTGGTGGTGGTAGTTGTGGTTGTGGTCCTTTTTGGCGTTGTTCTTCTTGTTGGACGAAGAGTCGGTCTCCTTGACGTAGTTCGGGGGGTCGTTGCTCTGGCTGTTGTTGTAGGCCTAGGGGTTGTGGGGCGGGTTGTAGTTGTAGTCGGGGTGGCGATGGACGTCTGCGGGACCGGGGGGGCGAAGGAGGCGCCTCGCAGGCGGTAAGGACTCCAGAAGTCATGACCAAGTTCAACCTTGGTTACCTGGGCAGACCAGGCGCCTTGCTTGTCATTGTCGGGTTGCTCGGGCGCTCTCTTGGTCTGCGTCGGCTGCGGGAGTGTGGGTCGCGGAGGCAGGGGCGCGGGCTCCTCGTGGCGCTGCGCCGGGGCCTGGGGGCGCTGCTGCTCGCCCGCTGGCGTCCATATGGGCGACCACTCATTCGGCGACTGCGGGATGGACGGCTTGGGCTGCGGTGGGACGTTCCAGTTGAAGAAGACGAAGTCGTCATCGCCGGACGGCTCGGTGATGATGCGCGGCTCGGGCTCGGCCAGGTGCAGGTCGTACGGGTCGCTCTCCTGCATGTGCAGCTCGTAGGGCACGTTGGTCCAGTCGTTGTAGGACTCGGAGCGCGAGAGCCCTTCGCGAGTCTCCACGAGGTGCAGGTCTGCGTTCAGGCTCGAGGGGGCGGCCTCCAGGTCAGCCACGCCCATCTGGTCCACGTCCACGAAGCCGTAGGGCGTCCACGTGTCGTAGGCGCGGCCATTCCGGGACTCCGCCAGAATGTCCACGATGTCACCTAGGCCGCCGCTGTAGTCCACGGCGTCGCGGCGCCGCCTGCGCTGCCCTTCCTGCTCGACGGGAGTCCACTGCGTGCGCGGATGGCGGTCCACTTGATCCAGGTGGATGCGGGGCACGTCGGGGGGTCCGCCCCACAGCACGCCGAGGCCGTCGTGGCGCAGGAAGAAGGCCACCTGGCTTTTGGCGTCGGGCGCCACAGCAGTCAGGATGGGCGCCACGCCGTCGGGGAAGGCCGTCATGTTGACCCAGGCAGCGAGCGTGAGGTCAGACAGCGATGGCGCGGGCGTGAGGAGGCGGGCGTAGCCACCATCGCCGACCACGAGGCGGTAGGTGGGCGCGGTGACCGCCTGTAGGCCGCCTGCCGCCGTCGCCAGCACCAGCCAAACCAGGCACGACCTGCGGGCGAAGCAACACGTTACTGGAGGCAGTGACATGCAGGCTGGGCTGTCGATCATTGGAGATTTATTTACTGTGCTAAATTTATGGATAGGAGAAACATGAAAAAGCACAGGTGATATGCAAAATATATCTTAATTGGATTTATAGATATATCTTATTTTACGGAGAATGATAGATAGTTACAGTGACACGGAAAGAAAGCGCGTGCGTGAAATTGATCATGATATTCATATATCAGTATTAAATATGGAGGATAACGAGAAACGGAAAAAATATGGAAGGACTAAGAGGTGGAAGGGGGGGGGGGGGCTCCTCGGTGAAATTGCAGCCTGAGTGGGTCGCGTAATTCACGTTTGCTCCCCCTCCTCCTCTTTCCCACCCACCCCCTCCCTCCTCCCATGGCACCTCAGTGCTATGTGACGCCCTCCTCCCCATATGGCGTACAGCTACTTTGTGGGGCGCTGTGCCAACCCCTCCCCACCTCCCCACCTCTTCCCCCTCTAAGCCTACGCAAACAACAGCTGCGTGTTTTCACGTCGCTGCACCTTGACTTCCTATGAAGGCTTATATTTCGTAAACGATGAATTTAGATTAAATGACACACGCGCAGGCACACACGCGCAGGCATACACATGCGCAGGCATACACACGCGCAGGCATACACACGCGCAGGCATACACACGCGCAGGCATACACACGCGCAGGCATACACACGCGCAGGCATACACACGCGCAGGCACACACGCGCGCGCGCAAACATACACACATACATTAACACACACACACACATTAACACACACATGCATGCATGTGAGTGTGTGTGTATGTGTGTACATTTGGCCCGCATTCAGTGACTGCCTCATTTAAGGGGCGCGGAAGGGAGAAAGCCGGCGGGGCGGAGCGGGAGCCGCTGCCGCCGCTCGGCTGCATTTCAATGAGCCTGACAGCTTTCGACGGAGCCGTCTTGGCGTAATGCTTTTAGAATGTCAGCGCAGGGAAGCGGAGAGATCTTTTGAACAAGGCCTTTGACACGGTTCTGGGCTGCTGCTTTCTGGCGGGGGCCATAGTATGTTGAAGGGTACTTTTGTTTGGGAAAGATCACGTCCGTGCGCGCGCGCGCACACACACACACACACACACACACACACACACACACACACACACACACACACACACACACACACACACACACACACACACACACACACACACACACTGGCACACACACATACACTGGCACACACACATACACTGGCACACACACACACACACACACACACACACACACACACACACACACACACACACACACACACACACACACACACACGCACACACACGCACACACACACACACACACACACACACACACACACACACACACACACACACACACACACACACACACACACACACACACACACTGGCACACACACATTCACTGGCACACACACATACACTGGCACACACACACACACACACACACACACACACACACACACACACACACACACACACACACACACACACACACACACACACACACACACTGTGTCTGTGCATGTGTATGTATATGTATATATATATACACACATATATATGTATGTTTAAAATGCACACACTAGATTTGTTGAAAATGAGATAATAGTTTCGAAATCCTCCTGGATTTCATCTTCAGGTCAGAATCTAGTTTGTGAATCGTGGGTTTTCCTACCATAGTATCAACACGGGTGTCTTAAGGAACAGAATGGAGAGGAAAGGAAGGAGAGAGCGATAGTCAAAGAGAAAGAGACAGAGAAAACGAGAAAGCATGAAAAGTGGCGAGTTTTAGGGAAGTGAGAAAGAATTGAAATAGAATCAAACAGACAATAGAAGCACACACATAGAGAAGAGAGGAGAAAGACCTTGAGGAGTCGCTTTTGTGAATGAACGTAAAGGCACTCAGCTGTGACTCCGAAGAGGGGTGGGGGTTAGTGGGGGAGGAGGGGGATGAGAGGGTGAGGCTGAAGAGGGGTGGTGGTGGGGATTGGGGAGGCTTGGTTCATGGTGGAGGGGTAGGGGTGTGGTTAATGGTTGGGGTCATGGGTGAGGGGGGGTGGAGAGGGGATGGAAAGTGGGGTTAAGACGGGGATTAGGGAGGTATGGTTAGTGGTGGGGGGAAGGGGGAGAGAGAGGATGAGGGTGGGGAGGGGGTAGGAGTGGGGTTAGGCGAGGGATGATGAGACAGACTTGCTTAATGGCAAGGGAGAGCATACTAAATGGTAGAGGGAGAAGAGGAAGAGGGAGGGGAGGGGGTGTCACTGACAGGGGAGGCACGGGCGATGATGATGGATGACTGCGATGACTGTTGGTAGTGTTGATAACTTTTTTTTGTGTCTCGTTAGACTTCATCACTCGAATATTCAGAGATGGCGGTATGTGTTGCCGCGCAGATAGTGAGAAGCGATTGCATGTTGTGTGTCTCTTGTAAATTGGAAGAAGGAAAGGCAAGATAGAGGGAAAGAAAAAAAAAAACGACGAAAATAAAATGGACAAAAAGTTGCGAGGCGGAGAAACTCTCCCGGAAGTTCGACCGGGATGGATGTGGCACAGAGGAAAGAAAGTTAAGGCAAGGTGACCCTCCCCTCCTCCCCTCGCCAACTCCATCATCATCCCTTTTTCTATTTCCCCTTCCTCTTCCCCTTCCTCCCCTCCCCTCTTTCCTCCCTCGCTTCCATTCTCCGTCCCTCCCTCCCTCCGCCCCTTCCTCATCTCTCTCTCTCTCTCTCTCTCTCTCTCTCCTCTCTCTCCCCCCTTTCCCTCCCTCCCTCCCTCCCTCCCTCCTTCCCTCCTTCCCTCCTTCCCTCCTTCCCTCCTTCCCTCCTTCCCTCCCTCCCACCTCCCCTGCTTTCTTCCTTCCCTCCATATGTCCCTCCCCTCCTTCCTCCTTCCCTCTCCTCTCTTCTTCCCTCCTTCCCTCCTCCCTGCCTCCCTTCTTCCCTCCTTCCCTGCTTCCCTCCCTTCTTTCCTCCCTCCCTCCCTCCACCCCCCCCCTCTTTTGCAAATGCTTGACTTCGGGAGCGACGGTTTGCGGAGACTTCGATGCCGATAGATAGGTATCGTGATTATATTCGTGTGTGTGTGTGTGTGTGTGTGTGTGTGTGTGTGTGTGTGTGTGTGTGCGTGTGTGTGCGTGTGTGTGTGTGTGTGTGTGTGTGTGTGTGTGTGTGTGTGTGTGTGTGTGTGTGTGTGTGTGTGTGTGTGTGTGTGTGTGTGTGTGTGTTTGTGTGTGTGTGTGTGTGAGAGAGAGAGAGAGAGAGAGAGAGAGAGAGAGAGAGAGAGAGAGAGAGAGAGAGAGAGAGAGAGAGAGAGAGAGAGAGAAAGCGAACAAAAAAAGAAGAAGTAGAAGAAGACAAAAAAAGGGTCGCGCGTATCTTTTGTTCGTCGTATCCGCTTTTGGAGTTAATTTTGTTGTTTCGAGAAGAGGAGAGCGCGCATTTCACCTCCCAGAAGCCACGGAACAATGCCACGGGGAGGAGAAAGGGAGGGAGGGAGGGAGGGAGGGAGAAGCAGGGAGGGAGGAGAGAGGTGGGGGCAGGAAGGGAGGCAAAAGACGGGAGAAAGGGAGGGAGGGAGAAGCAGGGAGGGAGGAGAGAGGCGGGGGCAAGGGACGGGAGGGAGCGGAGGGAAAGATGCAGGGAGGGAGGGGAGGGGAGGGAAGAGGCAGGAAGATAGGGGAGGAGGGAGAGGAAGGGAGGAAGGGGAGGGTAGGGGAGAGGTGGATGGGAGGGGAAGGAAGGAAAAATCAAGCATGAAGGGGAGGAGATGGGAGGGGAGAGAAGAGGGGAGACAGGAAAGGATAGGGGAGGAGAGCAGATAGAAGAAAATAGTAGAGAGTGGAGTAGAGCGTAGAGTAGAGCGTAGAGGAGAAGAGAGGTGAGGAGAGAAGAGAAGAATAGAATAGAGTATAGTAGATGAGATGAGATGAGATGAGATGAGATGAGATGAGATGAGAGAAGAGAGAGAGATAGGGAGTGAGGGTGCGGAGGGAGATGCAGGCATGCAGGGGAGGGGAGGGGAGAGGTAAGAAGGGAGAGACAAGAGGGAAGGGGAGGAGGGGGAAGGCAGGGAGGGAGGGAGGGAATGAGATGCGATGAAGGAAGGGAGGGGAGGCAGGAGGAGGGGCGCCGTCGGATGGCTGTGAAGGAGCATTGTTTTGTTTCTCGCTGCTTGTGTCCCAAGACATGACGCAATTACGCCTTGCCCAATCGTCTGCTTGCTTGCTTCCCGAATTTCTTCCCAGCTAACCGGGCAAGACGCCAGGCACGGTCGAGGGAGGGGAGGGAGTGGGAGAGAGAGGGAAGGGGGAGGGGGGGGAGGGGGAAAGAAGGGGAAAGAGGGGAGGGAGGGAGTGGGAGAGAGAGGGAAGGGGGAGGGAGGGAGTGGGAGAGAGGGAAGGAGGGGGGGGAGTGGGAGAGAAAGGGAAGGAGGAGAGGGAGGGAATGGGAGAGAAAGGGAAGGAGGGGAGGGAGGGAGTGGGAGAGAAAGGGAAGGGGGAGGGAGGGCGAGGGAAAAGATACCCGATTGCATTTGCACATTATTGTTTTATCGGCGGAAGGGAGGGTGAGGGACCCAACCCCGGATTTTGCTGTTGAGTGCCAGGCAAGGGGATCTGTCTTCGGGGAGTGAGGAAAGGGGTAAGAAGGTGGGGGCGGGGAGGGAGGAGGGGCAGGGGAACGCTCTTTGCTTCCCTTCGTCACTGTTACATGTTGGCAGCTGTTTTTGTTTTTAGTTTCATTTAAAGGAGTTACGAGTGGTAGTTCGATATTGCTGTTTTCTACCAAATTGCGAGTGGGTTGAAGGGTAGGGGGGGGGCAGAAAGTGGGGGGTAGGGGGGAGAATCCTGGCTTGTCTTTGATGTAGCCCGAATCCTTGTTCTTGGCTACACGCACGAAATAGCCCATCCATCATCCATAAAGTAGCCCTTTTAGGTAGCCTTCTAATTTCAGGTTAGCACA